GCAAATTGGAGACTTTGGAACCAGGGCTGTTTTGTTCTTTTTTAAGTAAACAACAACAACAACAACAACAACAACAAAACCCCCAAACACCCCCCACCATAGTTGTGTGTTATGGGTTGAATATGAAATGTACCCCATGGGTCATGTCCTGAATGTTTGGTACCCAGATAGCAGCACTATTTGGGGAGGTTCTGGAAAATTTAAGAGGTGGGACCCACTTGGAAGGAGGAAGTAGGCCACTGGGAGATACACCACTGAAGGTTATCCCTGGCCCTGGTCCCCTCCTGTATGGCTCTGGTTCTTGCTCACCATGAGGTCAAGAGTCTCTTCCACAGGCGCTACCATCATAACATTCTGCCCAAGGGCATGAGGCCAACTCAGTGACCTCAGGGATAGATCAGTGGGGTCGCATGCAAAAACAGAAAGCTGCACCAGGACCAGTACTGTTCAGAGAGGAGCCAAGAGCCTCACATAGTCACTGGAGCAGCTGAGAAAGTCCCTTGGAAGCAGTTAGTAGGCAGAGGCTGATGAACATCTACAACTAGAAATGGGTACACGCATGCAGGTAAGGAGTGGAAATCACTCTTGGAGAACTACGCTCCAGCATGATCATTCCTAGGCACATGATGGTTTTATACTGCAGATATGCCCCGTTCCTGACCCAGGGACTGAAACTGTGAGCAAAATAAATCTTTCCTTCCTTAACTTGCTTTTCTCAGGTATTTGGTCACAGTGACATAAAAGTAACCAATACATTGTGTGACTTATGGAACTGGGGAGCTGGGATTGGGGGATGCAGGGCTCTAGAGGAAGGAGGGAAGTAATATCAGTGAACATTTATAGAACCTGCTCTGGGAACGTTTGAGAAGGAATTTCTAGGTTGGGTTCATTGAAGTGGGAAGACTCATCATAAATGTGGGCACCACCATTTGATGGGCTGGGGTCCTGGGCTGGGGTCCTGGGTTGGGGAAAAAGGAGAAAGCAAGCTGAGCACCACCATTCATTGCTCTCTGCTTCCTGATTGTAGAGGAAACAGAACACTAGCTGCCTCACGCTTCTGCCACCATGCCTTCCCCACCATGATGGACTGCACCCTGAAACTCTGAGCTAGAATAAACACTTCCTTCCTTAAGTCACCTTTATCAGGTATTTTTGTCACAGCAGAGAAAAGTAACTAAAACTAAGTAATTCTGTGCTACCGCCACACAGGGCCTTAAAAAAAATTCATTCATTGATTCATTCATTTTGTGTGTGTGTGTGTGTGTGTGTGTGTGTGTGTGTTTGTGTAAATCAGAGGACAACTTATGGGAACTGCTTCTGGAACCTGGTAGTCAGGTTTGGCAGTAAGGGCCTTTACCTGCTGAGGCATCTTGCCAGACCTACAAGGTTTTTTTTTTTTTTTTTTTTTTGAGAAAGAAATGATTGCCTTGTAGCCCTAGCTGGCTTAGAACTCCCCATGTAGAACAGACTGGCCTTGATCTCACAAAAATCTGCCTGCCTCTGCTTTCTGAGTGTTGGGATTAAAGACATGCCCCACCATACCTGGCTACCTACAAGGTAATGGTGAAGTATAATTTTGTTTGAGTTCAGCATAACCCTAACAAGTGACCATGATTATTATCATTCCCATTTTGCAGTTGGGAAAAGAGGCAGAGGGATTAAGCCAACATTATAACACTATGGAATCCTGACCTGTAGGACCCTGTGGCTTTACTTAGACACTGTTGCAGCATTTAGAAAGTGCAGGTGGGAGGATCCAAGGGATGGGTGATGGCCCTAACACCTGAGCTTATTGCGGGCCCAGCCTGCCAGACATGTTTCTTGTTAGTGTTACCAACCATTCCTTGACCTGGGTACTGCTCCTATTCCTAGTGTGCAGATGAAGACACTGAGGTGCAGCAAGTTTAGGTTATATAACCAGAGGCTGGTTGTGCCTGGAATTAGATAAAGGTTACCCAGCTTCAGTACCTGTGGGCTTAGCCATCACCATGTGACAACTACTGAAGGTGGTGGATCTGAGGCTGTCAAGGCTGCCTCCTGGGGACTTTCCTATGGGCCTTGCCTGGGCGGTCGTGTCCTCTCAGCTTCCCTCTGATGTCCCAGCTGCTCACCTTTAGAAGTTCAGCCCATGGCAGTTGCTCTTAACAGTCCTTGGGAAGGAGAAGCCTGGAGGGAGGAGGGCTCTCTGAAAGTCTCTAAACCTGTGCCATATGGCTCATGTGGGACTGTCCCCCCATTCACGCCAGGCTCTGAAACACAGGTTTGCAACTTCTTATAGCAGGAAGACTTCTGGAGCATCTCATTCAGCTCTTTTGGTGTACAGATGAGGAAATTAAACCCAGGGAGTAAGGAGCCCAAAGGTGCATAGAGCAGAGCCTGGAATCCAGGTCCCAGCTGTCCCAGGATGCCATTCCCTTTGTGAGAGTCTGAATGGGGTGGGTGGGGCAAAGGCTGGGGCATGGTCCCCATCCCAGCAGGACAGTGCCAGGCTCTCTCTGAGGTATCCTTACCATGTGGATGAGGGAGACTATATGTGTAGCTTGTCCTGATAAGGGTCTCCTAGGGTGACTGTGACCTCTTCACTAGATGAGATATGTCCTCTTCACGTCACAAAACCTGGGAGGGTCAGGCTGGCCCAGCTTCAGGGAGAGCCCCAACAGGTATCTCCATTGTGGAAACACTCTTCTACTCTTTCCCTGCCTCCTCTGGATGACCTTGGTCCCCAGCTGTGTGTTCGTCTTTTCTAACATCCTCATAGCGTGGCTCCAGCCCAGGATGTGAGCTGGAGGACTTATTTCCCAAGAGGCAGCCTTGTCCCTAGGATGGACTCAGGCCCACAAGAAGACATTTGTTTTGGGATCTGGCACCAGGCACTGGGTGGCCGCCAAGCTTTGATCAGTGGCCTTTGGCAGTATAGTGAGTTTGGGATGGGAAGGACACACCCTCAGTAGAGGGAGAGCCTTTCTTCACATCCTTTGCTGCTGGCAAAGGCCTTTCTTCTCTTTCCAGGACCCCTGGGGTGGAGCCAGGGAGCCAGTTGGGGAGCAAATGTGTCCTTCCCCACCTACTGAAGCTGAGGGCTCTGCATCAGGGTTCTGGAGAATTGTACTCCAGCTTCAGAGACTAGGAGCTGCTTTGCTCTGGGCCCCAGTACAGACTTTGCTATGTTCTTGGGGTCACAGGGGTCTGAGGCTGTCCTTGGAGGGGCCCAGAAAGAAGCAAACTCGTGTGATAGGAGATCTTGGCTCCAGGCCTGGCACTGCCAGGGTCAGCCCTGCCAATCCTCAGTTTTCTAGCTTTAGACAAGTGAGCTGACTGCGAGCCATCTGCCTTACAAGGTCTCCATTTTTAAGGCTCTGTAGGATATAAACCCTGCCTGGGACTGTAGACAAGTCTACTGGAGAGGAATGCAGTGTGGGCTGTTTCTGCCTTTGTTCATGGAGAGTGGGGCCAACTGATGAGGAGGCTGCCTCCACTGCAGAAATGGGTTTGTTTTCATAGTTCCCAAGAGGTCCAAGCACAGCAAGCCATGCCACAACGGGTCACAGGGAGTGGAGGGGAAAGTGTGTACTGACCTTTTGCTATGGTTTGCAAGGGGATGGGTATGGCAAGGTAAGGGGAGGACAGGTTTAGTTCAGACAACTTGAATAGCCTCAGTGGGCTCTGGGCTACAGGAAGTCCAGAGTTTCTGATTCAGTTGGGATACTGCCCTGGACTACAGGAAGTAGAAAAAAATGAAGATATAGGGCTGTAGACTCAGGATGGCCTGGTCTGAATATCCAGGAAATTGTTTGCTCTTTCTAGGAATTGGCTAACCTGGGCAGGCATCACATCCCAGGGATTGTGAGGCCCCAAGCTGTCAAAACATGATAAAGTACAGAAAATGAAATTAAAGGATACTACAGGGGCCAGTTCAGGGTGCTTCTGTCTGTTAGAGAAAAGCACCCCAGTAGGCAAGCACAGCAGGGCACAAGGCTTCCTGGTCCTTGTGCCTGCATTTTACCTGGAAGCCCTGTAAAGAGGCCCAGATTTAGCAAAAAAACACAGGTTGGGGACTGGAGTGATGGTTCAGCAGTTATGAGCACTTGCTACTCTTGCAGAGGACCTGGGTTTAATGGGATCCAACACCCTCTTCTGGCCTCTGTGGGCATTGGATGCACATTGTGCACTCATATATATGCAGGCAAAACACCCATACACATTAAAAGGAAACAAACCAACACCCTCTGCCCCAAACTACAGGACGTCCTGTAAACTTGAACTTCAGATGAACAATACTTTTTTAGTATGAGTACGGGCCATGCAATACTTGGGAGAAACATACTGAAAATTTACTTATTGGTTTTTCTGAAATAAGAATTTAACTGGGCATCTGTCTTAGTCCATTCAGGCTGTCATAAACAACCCACTACAAGGTGGACAGCTTCAAAGCTGCAGAATTAATTTCTCACAATTCTGGACACTGCAAAATCTAAGACCAGGACATACTGAGTGTGTGGCAAGGGTCAGTCACCTGGTTCTTAAGTGGCTATTCCCTCACTATGTCCTCATGTGGTAGAAAGGAAAAAAAGGGTATCCCTTGTGGCTCTTTTACGAGGTCACTAATCCCAATTATGAGGGCGCCACCCTCAAGACGTAATCACCTCTTTAGAGACCCCATCCCAAATACTACTTTCTTGGGGTTAGAGTTTCAACACAGGAGTTTTGGAGACACATAGTTATTCAGAGCATTGTATTTTCTCTGGCACACAGGCCTAAGTCTCCTCTTCTGACATTGCTTTGTTCTAGGGCTTTTTACCTTGCTTAGAGTCTTCCTGGTGGGCAGTGGGGGGAGGGGAGGGCGAGAGCCAAACAGCAACAGGAGCGCTTCCACGCGGAAACAGGCAGAATCGGCCCCCGCCCCTGCCCTGTACATCTGCCCCCACCATCCCTATTCCCCCCACCCTTTTTCCTCACAGCCCCTGTCCCCACACTGGTCCTTTCCCCCTGGCAAGGCTCACCTTAGAGTAGGTGGCCCCATTGATGACCTCTCCCTTTCGAAGCCAGATGATGGAGGCTGCAGGCTTGGCGTTGTCTGCATGGCAGGTGAGGTTGAGGGGGTCCCCTGCCCGCAGGCTGATCACAGGCCCTCCCAGGATGATTGGGTCATCCGGCGGCACTGTGGAGAGAGGAGCACACGGGTCAGGCTGGGGCGGGTCTTCGCCTGGGATGGCAGAAGTGATGAACTGTAATTATCATACTTTGATAAAGTGTGTACCGTCCTCTGTATTATGACAATAATAATAAAGGGATGGGCAGTTCTTCATCTTGTCGGTGCCAGTGGTAAGCATGTGTGAAGACAGGTAGGAGTCTAGCCTGTCTCACAGATCTAGAAGCAACCCAGACACTACTTGAAATTTGTTTCTTTTAGTTTCTTTTGTGTGGGTGTGTGTAGAGGCCAGAAGAGGTTATCTGATCCCCTGAAGTTGGAGTTACAGGAGGCTGTGAGCCACCTGACGTTGGTGCTGGGAACTGAATTCAGCTCCTCTGCAAGAGTAGTTAAGTGCTCTTAACAACTGAGCCATCTCTCCAGCCCCAACTTTTTTTTTTTTTTAAGCCAAGCTTTGTCATACCTGTTACAATGCTCTTGTAAGGAAAACTATTTTTTAATTTCAATTGGAGGCGCAGCAGGATTAAGAGGCTTGCTCAAGATCACATGACAGATGGGTGGCAGAGCTGGGGCTGGAAACTGGTCTCGGACCTTTGGAGAAGGCTGGCTTCTTCTCTCGAAGGGGACAGGTGACAGGCCCTTTGGTCCTTCAGAGATGAGAGCCCTCTGGACTTTCCCCACTGTCCTTCAGAGAAGCTCTCTCATCTTGACACCTACTCAGAATGCAGCTCCCTGCCATGAGACATGGAGAGGAAGGGCATAGGACTGTCCTCCTCCCAGTGGACCCAGGTCCCTGCAGTGCCAGCATGGAGACCCATGCTTTACAGCATCTCCACACACACCTGCCAGCTCTGATGGACTGCCTTTGATCTCTATGAAGCCCATGGATGTAGGAGGAGCAGGTATGATGGTAGATAATTATCATTTAGTGGAAAGGTTCAGAGAGGTCAAAGACTTATCTAAGGGCACACAGCTTCTTGTGTTGCTGGTGCTCCTGGACACACTGAGATTCCCCAGGCCTTTCAAGCTTCCTGGACAAGCCACAGAGGAGGGTACTCCCTGGAGACCAGCTGAAGACCGTCCCCTGACGAACCCCTATCTCTTCTACTGCAAGGGACCTGGTAAGTTTCCTGGAAGAAGCTCAGGGACTCCCCTGACCCACCAGAGGTGTGAACTGTTCATGTTTTCAGGAATGAAGGGGAGGTGGGTGACCAGAGCTTGGGGATCTAGTGCAAAGATCTAGTGGTTTATTAGAGGCAAGCCATCCCTCCAGCCGGATTCCAGGCAAGTATCTGTGTTTGTGGCTTTCAGTGCCTTCTATAGAAAAGCACCACAGAACTACCAGCCTTCCTCCCCTCCAGTCTCCCTCTCTCCTAGTCCATTGCACTTCTCTAACAACTGAGAGGGCTCCATGTTTGGCCAGATCAATACCCAAAGCAGCATGCCTTTGGGCTAGTTGCCCTGCCTATCTCTGCCTGGCCCAGCTCTCTTAACAAGCCCATTTCCTGAGGAAACCCAACCCTGCCGGGCTGAAGAGATGAGACCACTGATCTACAGCAGCTCTGGACACCAAAGAGATCCTGGCCCAGGATGGAAGTTGGCCTCATCCAACCCTACCAGGCACAGAGTTCTGAAGCCAAGCCTCCCCAAGGGGTCCTGCAGCTTCCAGCTGGAGGAAGTCACACGGGTGTGGGCTGGACTCTGAAGACTACTGCTGCCCACTGCACCCTCTCATTAGTGCCCGTGGCCTCCTTGGTGTGGGCATGGCCAGAGAGCAAAGGGAGGCTGATTAGGCATTCCATCAATGGGGGTGTGGCTAGTGGCTGATGAGAGGGATTTCAGCTCCCTGCAGTGGGGGCGGGAAGGACCCCCAGCAGTGAGAGCTGGGGCTTGCAGCACAGTGTGGAAAGTTGGGTGGCCCTGCCCAGCTCTCAGTTGTGGCAGGTCCCTCCCCACACTGGTGCCCAGGAAGGAGTTCAGGCTCCTGAGCTGGCTAGGGGCCAGGACAACTGGAGAGAGCCATCTGGAGCTTCAGAGCAGAAGGACCACCTGGCCATTTTGGTATCCTGTGCCTTCAGTGATAAGCCAAGAGACTCAGATGGCAAAAGATGCCCTGGGTCAGAGGATGATGGGAAGGCAGGCCCCTTTCTCCCTGTCAGTGTCCTCAGGCAGAAAGTGTGGGTGCCACCTCCAATACTGACATATGTTAGACCAAGACAGAGTTTGGCAACCAATTGGGGAAGTTCATCAATCCTGTTGCCAGCATGCTCCCAACCAATGAGACCCCTCTCAGGCTGGAGCTGGACTTTGGGCACCAGGACTTTTAAAGTTTCCTCCAGGAAGCAGACTTGAGAAGCAGCTTTCGCTAGGCTTTTCGCTCAGGTGCATAGAGCTGTTACTGATCAAGGGGTGGGTGTGTGTGTGTGTGTGTGTGTGTGTGTGTGTGTGTATGTGTGTATTCTGAAAAGCCCATACTGGAGCCCCTCTACACCACCCATCCTTCTTACTTTGCCAGTGTTGTGCTTGGAGATTGCATTAGCAGGATTGGGGATGAGGGGAGTGGGAGGGGGGCTGTGTTGTGGGAGTTCTCAGGCATGCACACACATTCACACACACAAACATCCACCCTCAGAATGGGTCCTGATTACATCTTCCCAAATAAGTGGTTATCACGCTGGTTATTCATGTAGCCATGCATTATTGATTGGCCTTCGCCTCGCTGCACACCAGATGGGGGTGGGAGGGGTGGGTGGGGGCAGGGTGGGTTGGTGGGATGGGTGAGGAGGGAGGATGTTTGAGGGCCAGCACCTGAATAGAAATCAACACTCACTCTTGGCAGCTGTAGCTCAGATGGGACGTGTGTGTGGGGTACTCATTACCTCTCCATTCAGATGGGGGCCCATTACTGGAACCGTGTTGGGAGGGGAGGAAGTCTCTGAGCAGCCCAGGCCTGGAGATGCATTATTCATGTATCCCCTCCCAGGATTGGTTATTATCCTGAACCACGATAGAGTTTGGTCTCCTAATTTTTAATCACAAGGAAGGTGGAAGTGTTAGCCTTTTTGTGATTAATCTGGAGATAAAAATAGTTGACTGTTTCGGTGTTGCATTTGTTGTCAGTCGGGAAGCAAATTTGCATTAACTATTAGGGGACTAAGGCCTGGGGAAGACCTGAGTGGAGCCTAGGCAGTCTGTGGCCTTGAGATCGCCTCAGACAGGGCTGACCTGTGTAAGCCCTGCCGGCCCAGCTGGCCCCTGGTACAGGGCTCATAAGGGGAACAAACCCTCCCAATGCATGCCCCCATTGTGAGGGTGGTGGCTCTTTGCAGCTGACCTTCCCGTTATCCAGGGTTAGAGTAGCAGCTAAAGTCTCTTCCTGCGGTGTCCTGTCTGGGACACCTGCCCTGCAGGAACCAGTATAGGGTGTATCTCTTTCTTACCCCCTGTGGGTCTCTGTGCATTACTGCCAAGAACAAGGGGGTCTCTTTGGAAGAGTAGAGCGGGGAGATAGCATACAGATCCAGTACTACACTGACCAAGGAAACTGAGGCCAGAGAGTGGGGTGGGGGGCTGGCCCAAAACTACCATCAAGGGAGCAAAGGAGTGGGCCTGGGAGGCACATCTAAGAGGGTAAAGTGTCTGTCTGTTGATGCACTAAGGGTTTTGTCTCCCCTCTTACACAACAGCATTTTGTAACTAGGAGTTGAGAGGAAGCCGCATTGAGCCCCACAACTCTCCCCGAGGTGGCCTTTGACTTGGGCTGGAGCTTGTGGCTTTTTCTTGCAACATTAACTGAACAGAGGATCGGGTGAGGCTATGGTCAGAGGGCTGCTGCCCCATTTTGGAACTGCTGTTTATTCACTGTGCCCAGTGATTACAGAGTCAAGCTCACTGGGCCTGTTGGTCTTGAGCTGCTAGGTTGGCCATCTCCCCTGAGCAACGTGCAAACTGTCTTAGAGACATATTGGTTTTTTTTTTTCCAGCGTCTACTAGTCACCCAAGTGAGCTCTTGGTTGGGCTTCCAGGGATTCCTCAGATGCTCTGTCAATCTAAATGCTTGGCTCCACAGATGGCCATCTGGGCACAACTGCCACATGACTCAGCAACACCCATATGGAAGGCTCTGTGTGGCAGCTGGAGAAGTGGGAGGTCAGCTGGGCCATCCTCCTGCCCCCAGGCCAGCATGAGGGAGCCCGCAGAAGTTAGGGCTTTGGAGGACAGAGCTGGTTTCCCACTGACTAGCAGTATATTTTCCACTCTGCCAAGGAGTGGCCTATTTAAAACTCAAATAGCTTGTGCCCTGCTCTGCTTCAAACCTTCTGGGGCTCCCCAATGTACTTGCAACATACCTTGAACTCAGATTTGCCTGCAAGCACCAGCACTCATGGTCTTTGATATCCCTGATACACCAGTCTACTTACCTGCCTTCCTCCCCATGCCCTGGCCCCCATTAACCCTTCTGCCTGAGGGTCCATAAGGATGCCTGCCCTAGATCCACGGCTCTATTTTGGCTTCTGAGCATGTTTTGTATGTGTGTTCATTCAGGGTACACTTAGAGGTAGGGTGAGTGAGTATTGGTGGGACGGTGGGCAAAGAGGGAGTTTCTTCCTTTGTCTGGCTGGGGAGCTGTAGATGAACCCTCTGGTGTAAATTTCTTGAGAGAGAGAAGCTGGAGCTGGGGAAGCAATGCTGGGGCTGGTTTTCAGCCTGGGCTCTTGAGGCATGAACCCTCTTGGCTGGGGTGGGGCTGCAGCCCGATTTGCCTGTGCACAGGCTGGAGACAAGGCTACAAGTTAAGCTCAGGGACAGATCAGAGACACTCAGCAAGAGTAGAGGTTTGCTGACAGTATGTACTTCCTGCTTCCAGGAGTCAGCCCCCAGCCCCAGTGGCTTAGGGAAGGGCTGGGGAGGAGGCTGGGTCTGTGCCAGGACCCCAGTATTGACTACAGTTGGGAAAGAGACCCTGGGGTCTCTGGAATCAACCATCGTGTGTTCAGAATCTTCTGTTT